CTGTTGTTAGGGATGCTTTCTGCGTGAAGAATCTTAGCTAGAAGTGCTATGGTACCTTTTATGGATAAGGCGGTGTTTTCTTCAAGAGTTTAGCGAATTCTTGTGAGGGCTAGGTGCTTATTTCTTAGATGGTGGTTTGCTCTCACACCAATTCCAAAAGCCCTCTCCTTATATACCTTGGATGACATATCAATTTTCTTACAATAATATTGGTCCAAGGTTGTCAAAAACCATTGGATTTGAATTCAATTGGCTTTCAATTGCAAAGTGCTTGGTTTATATTAATTAGCTGATTCCAGTTGGTTGCCAAATATTTAAACAAGCCTAAGGTTTATAATCACACAGCCAATTGATACATGTTTCAATTTTAGAACTGTCTGTACCTGTTCAGCTGCTTACACACACACTTTTGTTTAAATCTCCAAGCTTAGAAAAACGCATCACTTCTTAAAGGGACTACGCACTCTTTCCCCCCCCTTACTGTTTTTACAAATAAATTCTAGCTTCCTGCCTTCCAATTCACAATTACTACACACAACTTTGTAACAGTAATCATAGAATGGATTCCCTACAGCATGAAAGCAGGCCATTCAGCCCATTGAGTCTACACCGATCCTCCAGACCCACCCCACTATCCTATTCCTGTAACCCTGTATTTCCCAAAGCTATTCCATCAAGCCTGCACTTCCTAGGACACTGTGTGGACAATTTTAGCATGGCCAATCAAGGTAATCTTCGGGAGGAAACCAGAGCACCCAGAGGAAACCCACGCAGACACAGGGAGAATGTGCAAACTCCACACAGACTGTCACCCGAGGCTCAAATTGAACCCCAGGGCCCTGGTGCAGTGAGGCAGCAGTGCTAACCATTGAGCTACCATGCAGCCCTGTAAGCGTGGAGTTAAGGGTTGGAGAATTGGTGCAGACCCGACTTGTCCAAATGGCCTCGATCTGCACTATTGAGAATCTATGATTTTATGAAAGATTGTCATCAATTTGCATACAACAAGCTGCCTCAAACAGCAGTGTAATCATGGTTGTCTTGTGTTGTTGGTTTGTTGGGGGATAAATATTAATCGCGATAGTGAGGAGAACACTCATTCTCTTCCTCAAAATGGGATAGTTTAGAACTATTTGATTGGCAGGACCCTAGGTCAAGATCACACCCGAACAATAACATCTGTGAGAGTGAGGTGTCTTCACAGTGGTATGTCCTTGCTTCTCTTCAATAGCTATGCAAGTGCATACCATTGGGTTAGTCACTGGTTAGTGATCTGAAGTGGGAGCAACTGGGCTTGCACTAGAGCCAATCCATCACTGTCTCATTCACATCAGTCCAGCGAGGCGAGAGGTTCAAGAATGATTGTGTTGATACAAGTTGAGCATTTTTTTCAGCCCTTGAAAGAGAAGAGATTTGCTTCTTAACAAACGAGAATGCAATTGAGACCTGTTTCTGTTTTTGTTGATGGGTGCTGCCTTTTCTGTTGTTCCTGAAAATTAAGCTTTGTTCGACACAGTGTGGAGCTGGAGGAACACCGCAGGTCAGGCAGCATCAGAGGAGCAGGAAAGTCGAAGTTTTGGGTTCACACCCTTCATCAGGACTGGGGTGGGGGAAGGGAGGTCAGAAAAACATAGAGGGAAGGAGGTGGGGCTGGAGAAGGTAGGTGGGATAGTGGAAGATGGATGCAGGTATGGGGTTGTGGAGATGGGTAATGGAAAGGGTGGATCAGATAGATGAGAAAGAAAATGGACAGGTTGTGTCGGGTCAGGGAGGCTGGGATGAGAGGCAGGGTTGAACGTGAGATGAGGCCAGGAGCGGGGAGATTTTGAACCTGATGAATTCTATTTTGAGGCCATCAGGCTAGAAGCTCCTGAGGCAGAATATGAGGTGTTGTTCCTCCGGCTTATGCGTGGCGTCATTGTCACGCTGGAGGAGGCCCAAGGTGGGCATGTCGACAAGGAAGTGGGAGGGGGAGTTAAAGTGGTTGGGAACTGGAAGGTGCTGTTGCTTATAGTGTACAGAGCACAGATGCTCTGCAAAACGGTCCCCAAGTCTGCGTTTGGGCTCACTGATGTAGAGGAGACCACATCGGGAGGATCGGATACAGTAGGCCAGGTTGGAGGAAGTACAGGTGAACCCCTGTCAGATTTGAAAAGATTGTTTGGGGCCTTTGACAGAGGTGAGGAGGGAGGTGTAGGGGCAGGTGTAGCACCTCCTGTGGTTGCAGGGAAAGGTGCCAGGTGCGGTGGGGTTGGTGGGGAGTGTGGAGCAGACGAGGGATTTGCGGAGTGCGTGGTCCCTATGGAAGGCAGATAGGGTTGGGGAGGGAAATATTTCTTTGGTGGTGGGCTCAAATTGCAGGTGGCGGAAGTGGCAGAGGATAATGCGTTGGATGCGGAGGTTGGTGGGATGATATGTGAGGACAAGGGGGGATTCTGTCTGTATTTTTGTTGGGGGGAAGGGGTTTGAGGGCAGAAGTGCGGGAAACGCAAGAGATGCGGTTATGAATCATTGGAGGGGAGAAGTTACGGTCCTTGAAATATAAGGATATCTGGGATGTCCGGGAGAGGAACACTCCATCTTGGGAGTAGATGTGGTGGAGAATTGGGAGTATGGGGTCACATTCTTGCAGGAGGGTGGGTGAGAGGAGGTGTAGTCAAGGTAGATGTGGGAGTCAGTGGGCTTGAAATAGATGTCAGTTTCGAGGCGGTCACCAGAGCTGGAGAGGTCCAGGAAGGAGAGAGAGGTATCGGAGGTGGTCCAGGTAAATTTGAGGTTAGGGTGAAAGGTGTTAGTAAAGTTGATGAACTGTTCAAGCTCCTAATGGGAGCATGAGGTAGCACTGATACAGTCATCAATGTAGCGGAAGAAGAAGTGAGGGATGGTGCCAGGTTGAAGATTGTGATTCTGTGCATTTCAAACCGAACCTCATTGTGAACAGTTTGGAGTGCATCTCAATGGGCATTTAGTATTGGAGGTACAAGCTATCATTGCTCTGACAATATCTCAGAGACTCTGTCTTTTTTGCAACATGGTAGCATTAAGGATTGCAATACCAAGGCCCTAATCAAATTAAAGGACTGTGAGAAACTGGAAGGGTTAAACATTTGAATTTTCCTATAGTGTGTGGGAGATCTTGTAATGAAACGACTCATGTCACACCCAACTGGAGAGATCATTCACCCAATCGTCTGTCAATAACAATATCCAAGAGCTACTGGGTGAGCGATGGTGAGCGTCTTTCCCTCTCATTGACCTTGACACTGCTGGCTGTCCAATGTAAGGCTAACAGCTTCTGGGTCCTAAAGCCCACTGGTCAAGACCTTCTCGCCACTGGATTCTGTTGTTCAAAGCCACTCCCTTACCAGCCATCTGTGCTTCTGATTGCCCCAGATGGGGCAATTGGAGGCAAAACCCTACCATCCAGCAGGCAGGTCACTATGGAGCCCAGTTGGGGAAACTAGCCAACTTTTTTCCCTGTCAGTTGATCAGGGAGATGGTGAGTCAAGGTTCTTATGTGGCCATTAATTGACCACTTAAGGACCTTTCCCAGTCTTGACAAGTTGAGAAAGTTGCCCATGGACCTTCCTGCCTACCACTTAGTTGGTGAGGTGGCATGAAATGGGTGAGTTTCTCTCCAGTGCCAAATCACCCAACTATTGCCCCCTCTTGCCAACTCCCCGGAGGGAGCACTTACTCCTTCTGTTCCTATGCTCTCAAAGGGCAAAACATTTGACAACCAGTAAGAACAAGAGGCCCTTTTGTGTTACGGAAATGGATCCCGTGGAAAATGTACCTTCTCCAACCTTGCTTTTAAATAGAAAACAAAAGTGTGATCTTGTAGCTTGTGTGAGCTGTTGTTGCTGGTTGGAGATTGGGAGGGTGAAGGTGAGCTTGAGAACTCTTTAAAGTAAGGTAATCAGGAGGGACTGAAATGAAATAAGCAGTGAGGAAGCCTCATATGTTGGTGCCAAGGGAGCAGGCAGGGTCACAGAGTGGCAATCGATAATCTCCCTAACAATCCACTATCCTGCCGCTCTAGAAAGTAGGACAGTTCACTGTTGTCCATGGAAATGGGGAGGAGGAGGGGTAGGGGTGGATTAAAAGAAATGATTTGTTCGAATTGTTTGGAAACTAAAAAACCTTTCGCCCACTTTCAGCCACTATGGATAGCTGGTTGACTAAGTTAATAGTGAGCTATTTATTTAATTATTCATATCTTCTCTTTGGAATTGCCAGTTGTGGGATACAGTGAGTAAAGGAGCAGTTATAATTAAGATGACATAATAGTGGTCACTAAAAGAATTGACAGCACAGACGAAAGCCACACGTGTGCTGTTTATGCTCTAAATGAGCCTTCTCCCATCCTGCCATTAACATTAACTCTGCTTTATCTCTACAAAGATGCTGCCAGACCTGCTGAGTTTCTCCAGCAATTTCCTTTGTTTTTGTCTCTGATTTCCAGCATCCGCAGTTCTTTGTTTTTATTTACGATCCACCTGTTTGGCCGTGATTTGTCTGCTTATTCTAATGTTTAAAGGTGGAGGCCATGGCTTTTTAAGAATTATCACTGATTAATCCAGAGACCCAGGTAATATTCTGGGGACCCGGTTCAAATCCTGCCATGGCAGATGGTGGAATTTGAATTCAATTAAAAAAATCTGGAATTACGAGTCTAATGATGACCATGAATCCACTGTCAATTGTTGAGAAAAACACATCTGGTTCACTTTACAGAAGGAAACTGGCATCCTTACCTGGTCTGGATTACATGTGACTCTCTAGATCCATAGCAACGTGGTTGACTCTTAACAGCTCTCTAGGATGGGCAAATATTGGTCTTGCCAATGGTGCCCTCATCCTGTGAATGAATTTAAAAAAAAACAAATCTAATTGGGGCTCTTAAAAATCAATATCTCTCTTCTTCCCTTTCTCCTAGTAATGCTTTAAATGTATGTACATGCAAACTCTGACATTTGATATTTTTTTCGCATTCCCAGGGGTCTTCAAGATCCAAGTACCAGAAGTCCCTGTCGTTGCCATCTTTGGGAAAGACATCACCCTGAACTGTTCCTTTACCACCAATGCCACCTTTTCCCTGGGTGACCTCACTGTCATCTGGCAGCTCACAGAGACTCGGAAGATGGTGCACAACTATCCGATCCAGCAGGACCAGTTGGCAGACACCTTTGCGAACAGGACGGCTCTGTTCACTGAAGAGCTGGAAAAGGGGAATGCTTCTTTGCTGTTGAGGCGTGTCCGGATTGAGGACGAGGGCAGCTTCACCTGCTTTGTGAGAATTAAAAGTCACCAGAGTGCTTCCATCATGCTCCGACTGGCTGGTATGAGGACACGAGATTGTGCCCACAGCAGTGGCTCCCAGTCTGATATTACTTTCACTGAAGCATATCCTCCCTACTTACTACATATAATTCCCTTATGATAAATAATAATATTCTATTATCCTTCCTAATTGCTTATTGTACCCCCTGTGTACTAACATTTTGCGATTCATGCGCAAGGACACCCGAATCCCTCTGTATCTAAGCTCTGCAGTCTCCCAGCATAATCTTTTTTGCATTCTACACACCAAAATGGACAAATTCACATTTTTTTACACATTGTACTTCCTTTTCCAGCTCTTCAGCCACTCACTTATCTGTAACTTTTTACATCCTCATTCTGTCCTCTTTGCACCTGCTTTCCTGCATATCTTTGTCATCAGCAAATTTGGCAACAATACCCTCTGTCCCAACATCTAATTGTTTATATATTTGTGACTAGTTGAGGTCCCAGCTCTAATATCTATGGTACATCATCTATGACATTTTGTGAAGCCTCTAAAAGACCTATGTATGCCTCCTTGCTGTGTCCTGTTAGCCAGTTAACTTTCTATCCTTGACAACCTACTACCCAATACACCATGAGCTTTCATTTTCTACAATAGCCTTTGATGTGGTGACTTACTAAATGCCTGCTAGAAATCTAAATATAGTGCATCTACCAGTTCCTCTTTATCCACATTATGTAATATTTTTCCCCATAGATTGTTAGCATAACTTCCCTTTCACAAAACCATGTTGACTCTGCCTGATTACCTTGAACTTATCCAAGTGTCCTGCTATAACTTCTTTGATAATCGCTTTTAACATGTCTCTATGACAGTCATTAAGCAACCTGGCTTGTCATTTCCTGCTTTCTGTCTCCATCCACTTTTCTGATTGAAGGAGTTATATCCATCATCTTCCAAATGGGGTCATCCCTGAATCAAGGAGGTTTTGGAAAATTAAAACCAATGCATCACCATTTCAGTAGGAACCTGGTACAGAGTTGGGCTGATCTCATGGAGCTGCTCCCTCACTGAGCATAGATAGCACATTGTGGGCAGAATTAGTTAGAGCAATATCAAATAGGGAGGATACAGGGAATCATATGAAGTAGACCAGCTAATATGAGGTGATAGAATTTATGGAATAGTCTTCCAAGAAGATAACAGTAGAGTTTGATATATTTCTGATTACCAAATATTGTTATATATAGTCTGAACTGTAATAAACAATGTTGTAAAGAGGCCTAAGTCTGAAAGCATTTTCTGTCTTATAGCCCTGACTATCTTTGAGCCAAATGCATGAATGTGGGCATAAAACCACATGACAAATGTAAAGGGGGCCGACAGTAATGTGGAGTTGAGATCACAACGAGGTCAGCCATGACTTTATTGAATGGCGAAGCAGCCTTGAAAGTCCAAATGGCATAATCCAACTCCTACAGCCTACAGTCCTACAGCTCCTCTACAGCCGTATGTCTCTGTAACTATTTGTCTTGCACTCATTAACACAGCAGTGTTCAACAGTGCCAGATTTTGAAATGTGGAATTCTCGTTTTTGTTTTGTTAAGTGAAATGTCAAAGTTAGCAAAACTGAGATAAGAAACGGTATGAACATTACATAGTGATCTTTGGGCTTGTCAGCACCTGGGAAATCTAACTGACCAAATGGCTGCAGAGACATTGACGAAGTTGTAATGTTCTTTTGGAGTGAAACATGTTGACTGGTTGAGAGTATTTGCTTTAATTGTACTTCTGTCGTTTCAGCTTCTTACTCCAAACCCAACTTGCACTTGGAACCCAACAAGAATCTCAAGCCTGGCGATGAGGTGGCCATTACTTGCCACTCTTCTGGAGGTTACCCCCAGGCTACAGTGCAGTGGCATGATGGGAAAGGGAGCAACATCACTGAGAATGTCACCACTTCGCAGGTAGCCAATGAGGAGGGTCTGTTTGACGTCCGCAGTGTGATCAGGGTGATACTGGAGCCCAACAGCACGTACAGTTGCATGGTGAGGAATGAGCTGCTGAATGAGGAGACCCAAGCCTTGGCAACCATTACAGGTCAGTCGCATGTTGTTATTCCGACTTGCGGATTTGAAGCCTGCAAAATATAATAGAGCATTGTAACAGCGCAACTTGCACAGCATTCATTCCAATTACTGTGAACTGCCTCAAAGGACTTCTGAAGTGTCTGAAACATCTGTTCATTCATTCTGCTCTGCAGTGAACCAGCTGAAAATCACTCAACATCACAATAGGATATCAGGAAAACATGTTTAGAAATTTTGATGGGCAATTTTCTTTTCTTTTTAGTGGGGAGAGTGGGGGAACATACACTGTTTCCAATTTTGTAGCCATTTAAGCCCATTGCGAACATGGAAAATGATGACACTGTGGCAGAAGCCTTGCAGTACCTGGATGAGTGAGCTTAGCAAATATTATTTCTTCAAATCAAACCTGTTTTTCATTTACAGCTGGTTACAATTTTCTTTAACTTCTGTGAAGGCTAACGTGGTGGATCTCCTATAATGGAGCTGGATCAATTTACTTAGATAGGGTAAATAAGGAGGAACTGTCTGACAGGCAAGTGATAGAGTTATGGAGTCATACAGCATGGCAACAGTCCCTTCCGTCCAACCAGTCCATGCTGAACTTAATCCCAAACTAAACTAGTCCCACCTGCCTGCTCCTGACCCTATCCCTCCAAACGTTTCCTATTCATGGACTTATGCAAATAAGTGTTGTAATTGTACCTACATTCACCACTTCCTCAGGAAGTTCATTCCACATGCGAACCATCCTCTGTATAAAAAAAATTACCTATCATGGATTTTTTTAAAATCTCTCTCCTCTCAGCTTAAAAAATGTACCCACTGGTCTTGAAATCCCTCATCCTAGGGAAAAGACAACTACCATTAACTCTATCTATACCTGTATTATTTTATAAGTCCCAGCCTATCCAGCCTGTCTTTATAAATCAAACCTTCCATACCCGGCAACATCCTGGTAAATCTCTTTTGAACCCTCTCCAGCTTAATAATACCCTTCCTATAACTGGGCGACCAGAACTGGACAAGTTGGTAACTGGAGCACGCAAGTTTTTAGATCGGTTTTTTGTGGACTGAGTTGATATGATCTGAAAATTCACTGCCTGAAAGCAAGGTGGGGGTAATGGAAGCAGATTTAATACAGCTTCCAAAATGGAATATTTGGAATGGAAACTTTGGAAAGTAATGGTGTAATGACCAGGGAGTGAGACCAATTAAATAGCTGGACAGAAGAGCCAACATAGGCATAGTGAGCTTAATGACCTCCAATGCTGTATTATTCTGTATTAAATGATAAGGGTGGATATCTTTACAATTCAGAATAAACCCCTCATCACAAGTCTCTCTCATGCATTTGAGTCAATGACTGAAGAACTGAAGAGATTTTGCAACTGAATACAGTTAAATCTGCCTTAATTTAACAATTGGAAACTTTTAACCAGTAATCTGCCACAAAAGAAATTATACAAACAGCTCAATGTTTGTTGAGAAATGTGATTCTCTTCAATTAATTGAATTCTGAAAATAACATTTAGCTTTGTCCATTAAAAGTAATTTAACTAAGTAATCGAATTAGATTAGAACAAAGAAGGAATTTAAAGCCTTATTTAAAACGCAATTAAATAAGAGGATTGCTTTGCAGTGTGTTAGTTCTGACCTTGTCAGTTTAATGTTAATTTGAAGGATTGACAGACTTAACCTTCAGGTTCAGTTGTCCATCACTCATCTTGTCCTTAAGTTAGGAGGACAAGGCTGTATATGTGCCCATTATTGGTTAAGCGCACGACCTCTCTGACATTAAATGTCATTGACTTAGCAAATATTAAATAAGTGAAGCTGACAGTGATATATTCACATTTGCATTGTGATAAACTTGAATTTGAATGAAGGCTTTACCAAACCTGTCCCAGAAGTCACCTTTCAGTTGAAGGTACAATTCAGTTTCTGTTGTTATTTGTCAATAAACATGGGGTTCAACAGCCAAAGAAGTGGAGATATGTGTTTTATTTCGTAAGATGTGGCTATCACTGGCAAGACAAACATAGGTTGCTCATTTCTTAAATGCCTTGCTGCGGGTCTGGAGTTACATATAGGCCACACCAGGTAAGGATGGCAGATTTCCTTCCTTAAAGAACGTTAGTGAACCAGATGGGTTTTTGTAACAGTCAATAGCTTCATGGACATCACTGAGACTGGCTTTCAGTTACAAATTTTTGATTTGTCAATTCAGTTTATGAATTAATGGATTTCAAATTGATTCAAACTTCAGTCCCCACAGCCTCTGTCTGGACTGCTGGTTCACTTCTATTCCCATTACAGCACTGTCTCCCCATATACATATTGGAATTTAAAGAGCAAATGCATCTAAAGAGCATTTGAACATGGGGTGAACACTCTCTGATTGGTTTTTCTCTGGATCCCATACATAGTAGAATGAAATAATGCATGATAAATCACCCCACCCACCCCACCACTCCTGAGGTCGACCTGTCAATCAGCATATGCAGAGGGCAGTGAGGATAGGTTTTAAGAGTTGTCGGTCACACTGTCATATTGGATTCCAAGAGTGAAATGTGAAAGAGTATCCAAGGAATCAAAGCTTAGTCCTGCAGAAAACCACCCCTGGTACCTAGAAGAGGCCATAAAACTCCAAGGTGTCTTACCCACCTTCAGTGTTTTCATACCATCTGTCTTTCAAACATGGAAGATCTTGCTTTAAACGTGAGCGAAGAACCTTTCCGCCTCGTTGATTTGCTTTCATTGTGGAAGGGTTTGGAGCTAAGCTTTGGGAACTGGTATGTCACCCCCATGTCACTCGTCACTTGCACATTATTACAGCTGTAAGATTCAATTACAGAGATGTGAATCCTTCACAGTTCAAAATTTTTGTTGATACTCGAATGATGGAGTTCAGGATGCAAAAATGAAAGTAAAAGTTAAAGCAAAAGAGTGGCTGAATGGATAGCACTGCTGCCTCGCAGCGCCAGGGATCTGGGTTTGATTCCAGCCTGTGTAGAGTTTGCATGTTCTTCCGTGGGTTTCCTCCTGGTGCTCCTGTTTCCTCCTGCAGTCCAAAGTTGTGCAGGTTATGTGGATTGTCCATGCTAAATTGTCCATCATGTCCAGACTAAGTGAATTACCTATTGGAAATGCAGCGTTGCAGGGATAGGGTGGGGTGGGGCTGGGTGGGATGGTCTTCGGAGGGTTAGTGCAGACCTGATGGGCTGCATGGCTATTTTCTGCAGTGTAGGGATTCTATAATTCTAAAAGCAGAAAATGCTGGAAATGCTCAACAAATCAGGCAGCAACTGAAATAAAACTCTTGTTAATGAGTTACTCAACATTAAACGACTGTTGACATTCATCTTTTTTTTTGCAATGAAGTTCATTGGTGCGCAAGTTCTTTTTTCGGTTCTGTTGTTAGATCAACTGTTTTGAACTGCAACATATCCATTTTTATGACCCAGATTATCATTTTTCTTTGCCATGGATTTTTAAGGTTGCAGCCTAATAATTCAAAGTGACTGCCCTGAGGGTGACCAGAGAAGGTTACAGCTGCTCAACTCATTATCTCACACTGGAAGTTGCCTTAGAGATGAAGGGGAAAATTTCCAGCCTGATCATTGAAACATTCAATTAGAGATGCCATTGTCTTACATCTTTCTAGCAAGGTTGTCAGCCAGAACAGTGTGCACTTCAATAGAGATTGAAGTTGTAGCTGTGTGGGAGTTAGTTATCATTGTAATGTGCCATCACATGCTGACTGACTGAGAGATTCCCTGAAGACTGGCGTCTTGCTGTTGTGCAAATGTTCAAAAGTCTATTTTTACAGAACTGTAGGGTTTCTTTGCTAGCTATCATGTGTTACTGGCATTGTAAACACAGTGGGAAGATTCCCTCTGTCTGACCTGCTTTTGATTAGCAGTGGTCAACATGCAAAAGTTTTTGTTTTGTTTTGTTGTGTGCTAGCTCCATGATACCACTAACTTACAGCAGCCAGAGGAGCCTTCCTCCTCCAGTAACAGATGGAACAGAAATTCTTCCTTTTTATAAGAGCAGATTTCATTGAGTGAATGCTGCTGGTTGTGAACTAGCTTTGCATTTTGAGAAATTACAGATCTGGCAAGATTGAATTCAACGAGGTTTGCTGGGAAAGGCAGCACACATCCCCAGCACCAGTTCCAAAAATTCAAATTTGCTCATATCCGATATGGTAAACCAAAATAAAACACACATTTGGTCCCAGCTGCCCCAGTTATGAGCATCTACTCTAGGAAGGCTTGAGAAACAGGTGTTGCTGCCCTTGATCTTTTAGATGGGGATCATTGAAAGCTTGTGAAGTGTCCTAAGAGGTCTACAGCACAGAAAGGGGCCCAACAAGGCCACACTAGTCAAAAACAAGCTCATAACCATTCCAATCACATTTTCGAGTATTTGGCCCATAGCCTTGTATGCTTGGCACATTGGAATATTTAAATGTTAGGAGGGTTTCTGCCTCTATCGCCCTTAGAATTACCTGAAGAGTTTGGTAGATTGTGACTAATATGTTGCAGCCACTTTGCATCAGTGGTGGAGATGATGGATATTGCAAAGAAGTGGCTGTGCTTATATTAAGCTGGCTTCTTCCTCATTTTTATCTCCCTGAGCTTTGGAGATCCAGTGAAATAGATAGTATTCCACTGCTCTCTGGCCATACACTTTGTAATTTGTGGAGAGCTTTTGGGAGTCGAAAGGTGAGCCACTTGCTGCAAAATGCACACAGTGCTCATGTAGCTCTAACAGTAATATAACTGGCCCAGTCATGGCATTTATGGTGAGTCAGCAAGGTTTTTCAGAGCCTCCACATTATGAAGTCCTAATTCTCCTGTTTCTCTGGCATGTTTCATTGTGCCAAAGCTTCTGATTACACAGCCGAGCATAAGTGTGTGAGGAGGTGGTGAAGGAAATTGTCAAACAAGCCACCGTGAAGTTTAACACACAGGCTGTTCATAACTCCTACGTTTGTGAAATGAT